GCGCGCTCTGTCTGGCTTTCTCGCGATGCTGTCGCCCAGCTTGCCATTAGCAACGCCCTTCCCCCGTCCGAGCGCCCTCGCTTTAGGTCCCTCACCACTGCTCAGGCATACTTAGCTGCTGTCATCCAGTGCTATTTCACCCCTCCGGCTGCCTCGGTGGGTCGCCTGATCCTCCCGATGCTCTTTCCTGACCTTGCATCTTTCCCCACAGTCTCTGACCTCGCTGCCCACCTGCGCACGATAGATGAGACCTGGCGCGCTGCCTGCACTGACGCACAGCTTAGAGCCCACCAGCCGCCCATTACCTCTACCCTCTACCTGCTTGCCACCCGCCTCCCTGACCGCCTTGCTGTCGCCCGCGACCGCTTCCTTAGCATTCACCCCGCAGACCTTACCCTCACTGACTTTGTAGACACCCTGACTGTGATAGAGACCCGTCACCGCTCCATCACCCAGGCGAGCGGTGTCGTGCCGGTCCCTATCTTTCAGGGTTGTGCCCCCGCTCAGTGTACCTTCTCCGACGACTCTGCCACAGTGGCTGAGACTGCTGCTGCAGCGCAGTTTCGTTTCGGGAAGGGCCGCCGCCCCAAGGTTGGGCGCGGCGGAGGCGGAGGCGGGGGTGCGGGAGGGGGTAGTGGTGGGGTCGGGTCGTCTGGTGCTGGAGCGGACGAGGGGACCCTGCCCAGTCCAGCTGAGCCGCCGCCCCTGCAGTTGCAGCAGCCGCAGCAGCCGCCGCAGTTGCAGCCTTCGCAGCAGCCGCAGCAGCCGCAGCAGCCGTCGCAGACGCGGCAGACGAGTGTCCTTCCGCCCAGGTGGCCCGGCGCTGGTGGTGGCCGGGCGCGTGGTGGTGTGCCGAGTGGTGGCTCTGGCGGCGGACGTTGTCAGTACCAGATCCAGACCGGTCCTTGCCGCGGCTTCGTTTGCGGTAAGATCGGTCACTCCACTCCCCGCTGTTTTCGTCGCCTGGACGACCTCTTCCGTCAGCACTTCGGCCCGTCGCCAGACCTCCCGGACTGGCACAGATTGCTTAGTCGTAAGATTCAGATCTTTGATATGGACATGGATGCCATTGTTTCTGCTCTGCATGTGATGTATGCTGATGACTCTAGTGTGCTTCCAGCTTATTACTCACTGTTGCCTAGTGTAGGTGTGCCTAGCGTAGCCTCCCCTGCTGCGTCAGGCGTAGGATCCTCTGCTTTGTGTAGTCTTGGTGCTTCCGCCGTCGTTCCGTCGCCAGACGCCTCTGCTTCGCTTTCCTTCACCTTGGACTCTGGCGCTTCTCGGTGTTTCTTCCGCGACTCCACCACCCTGACGCCGCTTCCTGTTCCTGATGCCGTTTCTCTTGCTGACCCCTCCGGCGGTCCGGTACTCGCCCGCAGTTCCACCACCCTTCCCTGTCCGGCGGTTCCTTCGGGCACTCTCACAGGTCTGCATATCCCCTCGTTCTCCAGGAACCTAGTTGGTGTCGGCTGCCTCCAGGACCTTGGCATCACCACTACGTTCCCTGGTCACGAGCGGTATGCTGTCTGTACCGAGGCCGCCACTGGTGCCCCCCTGTCCACGTTCCCCCGGGACCCGGTGTCCGGCCTGTTCACTCTGGACACCGTGACCCCCCCGGCTGGAGCGCTCACCCAGGTTGCTGCTTCCTGCTCCTGTCGGTCCCTCACTCACCCCACCCTCCTTTGGCACCACCGCCTAGGTCACCCTGCACTCCCGCGTCTGCGTCACATGTCCCAGCACGGTCTTGTCCTTGGTCTCCCAGGTTCTCTCCCCGCGTTTCCCTCCTCCCCAGCCCCCCCTTGCACGGCTTGTGTCGATTGTCGGCTTCGCCGTGCCCCTCACTCCTCCTCGTTTCCCCCTACCGCCGCGCCGCCGCAGACCCTGCACCTGGACGTCTGGGGCCCCGCCCCCGTCCCTGGGCCGCGTCGAGAGCGCTACTTCCTTGTGCTTGTCGACGACTTCACTCGTTACACCACAGTCTTTCCCCTTGAGCGCAAGGCCGACGTGCCTGACACTCTCATCCCTTGGCTTGTCTCTGCGCGTGTCCACCGCGGTCTCCCTGTCTTGCGTCTTCACTCAGACCGTGGTGGCGAGTTTGCCTCAGGTGTCCTTGGTCGCTTTTGTCGTGCGGAGGGCATCACCCAGACGTTCACCCTACCGGACTCCCCACAGCAGAATAGGGTCGCTGAGCGACGCATCGGTTTGGTGATGGAGGTGGCTCGCACCTCCATGATCCATGCCGGTGCACCCCATTTTCTGTGGCCGTTCGCTGTGCGCTACGCTTCTCACCAGCTTAACTTGTGGCCGCACCCTCAGCAGCCGCAGGTTTCGCCGACCCGTCTTTGGACTGGGTCTCCTGGTGACGCGTCTGCGTTCCACGTCTGGGGCTGCCTTGCTCACGTTCGTGCCTCCAGCACGGACAAGCTCACTGCCCGCACCCTTCCCTGCGTCTTCCTCGGTTTTCCCCTTGACGCGTCCGACTGGCACTTTTACCACCCGCCGTCTCACCGCTTCTTTCACTCTCGCGACGTCACCTTTGACGAGTCCGTTTCCTACTACCGTCGCTTCCCCCACCATGGTCCCCCGGTTACCCCCCCCTTGTTCCTCGTCACTCCTTCCCCGGTAGTCCCTGCCCCTCCTCCTCCTCCTCCCCGTCCCGCCCCCTCTGGTGTGTCCCACGTCACCCCCCTTCCGTCGGCGGACCCGGTTGAGGAGTCCTCTGACTCTGGTGGCCCTCTGGTGCAGTCCTCGCCGGCCGCCCCTCCCCCGGCGTCCCCTCCCCAGTCCCCTCCTCCACCACCTCTGCCGCCGCTTCAGCCGTCGTTGTCGCTGCCGCCGCTGCCGCCGCCGTCGCAGCCCCCGTTCGCTGACTCAGGTCTACCCAGGGCTACTGCTTCAGCCTTGGCTCAGGTGCCATCTCGTGGAGAGCTACCCGCTCCTCGTCTGTTGCGCAGTCCAGCTGTGAGGCTGAGATCTACGCTGGTGCCATGGCGGCACAGGAGCTCCGCTGGCTGACCTTCTTGCTCACTGACTTAGGTGAGCGGCCTAGTTCTGCCCCGGTCCTGTTCGCTGACAACAGGGCCATGATCCTCGTGTGCCAGGAGCCTCGACTCGAGGGCAGAGCGAAGCACATTCAGCTGCGGTACTTCCTCCTGCGTGAGCTACAGCAGCGACGTCAGGCTCGCGTAGTACACTTGGCCTCAGGTGCCAACACGGCTGATATCTTTACGAAGGCGCTTGCGCCTAAAGATCATCAGCGGCACTGCGTACAGCTTGGTCTAGTTCCTGTAGCCTCTCACTTGCTAGGACCTTGACTTTGTACTGTCCTTTATATGTATACTCAGACTGGACTTGTGTCCTCTCCCAGTGGCTGGACTAGTAGTGCCGCCCTGCTCTTGTTCTTGCCTTGTCTGTACTCCTTCTGACTGGTCTCTCAGACCCTTGTTTCAGAGGTTGGACTAGTAGTGCCGCCCTGAGCTGTTTGTTTAGGACATTCCCCTATGCAGTCTAGGGGGTGTCTCAAACATGTGTATTTGTCATGTTTGTATAGACTGTATAGGGTCACCTCTTAGAGGGTACAACACTTAGGTATATCTGTGTGTACTCTCACTCTATCATTCACTTCTCTAATTCTGATATTAGGAAGAGAGAGGAGTACAAGGAGGGGTTTGTACCTCCTACAGAAAGGTTCAGTAACAACCTACCAAGCCTATATTAAATTATAACTTATATAATTTGAACAGTTTATACGGGGGAGAGCTTATGATAGGGTGAATTTAGGAGAGCACCCGCTTTTCGGGGGTTGCATTTTACATAACACCCTCCTCGTTTTATGCAGCAAAGAACAGTATTTCGTAGTTTTTCAAGCTCGGCTCGATTGAGAAAAAAAACGAACAGGATGAAAAATGCAATGTCACCTACCATTAGCAGCGAAAAAACTTGCAGAAACATCAAGACAAGTTGCAGCGCGAAATCGAAACGTCAGCGAAGGTCGAGACTCGGGAGGATTTCGACCGTCGAATTCGCGTTCGCGGATTCTGTTGTGATTTGACGGTCAGAATCCCCCCGTCGAAATTGCGGATTCTGTCGCGATCATGACGGTCGCAGGTGCCGCACAAACCTGGCCCTGACTACAGCACTCAGCAGGGATTGGGCAACGACGATTGGTTTGTGAGTTTTGTCTTAGCAGATGCTGTACCTCGCTAACAGTCGCTCCGCGCATTTTTGAGCATATATGGCCTAAAACACTCAAATTCTAAGTGCATTTTACATAACACATGGACACTATATTTTTCCGGGCCACTGTTAACACCCAGCCATTTATTTAGTGAACTTTTATATACACCATAGGGTGTTATATACGGGGAATTATGGTAGGAGCCATTGATTGGCATGAGGTTTTAGGCCAGGAAAAATTGACAGGGCTAGGAGCTATTATATATCTATCAATTACATAATTTAACATGAATTGCCACACTTCCGTCTGCGTGTCTCCCACTTCTTTTGGTGTGATGCAAAGTCAATCTGCTTTTCTTCTAAGCTGGAACGCTTTTCTATCAGGCCCGATGAACGGTACATGCACCGGTGTGCATCCGCATGAGCAAGCATGAACGCCTACGTGAGTGCATGAATGAACAGAACATAGCAGTGATATGACTGCGCTGGTGTGGACTGACCCACAGGTGCAAACGAGTGGAAGCGAGTGCAGACCAGGTGCGAGACAAGTGAAATCCCAACTAGGGGGGGAGCCAGGGAGACGTGTACTTCCAGAAGACAGTAAAAGTCGCTGGGAACGGGCAGAGACTAGAAGGCGGAGAGCAGGCAGAGGGGCTGACAGCAAGAGGCAGAGGACAGAGAAGAGGAGGTACAGCTGACGAGCAGACATGGGGTGAACTGGACTGGCAGGCTTGGCAGGAGTGCACGAGATCAGGAAGGGTAGCATGGGGGGAGCCATGAGAGCGCAGGGAGAACACAGGGTAGAGTACAGGAAAATGAAGACGAGCGAACAGGAAAATTGAGAGCGAGAGGAAAAGGAGGGCTGAGAACAGGGAGGAGCCGCGAAGAGAGAAGGAAAACGGGGGGGCGGGGAAACGAGGGAGGTTCACGTGGGGGACGACGCAGAGGGATGCGAACGCTGAGGGATGCGAACGAAGGGGACGAGCCGTGGAACGAGGGGTCAGACGGAAAGCATGGCGACGCCAGTGAAGGTGAAAACGGACTGTGTCGTACGACACGGCAGGAAGCGTTGGCTCAGCGTGCATGAGAGCGCGGGACAACGAGCGTATGAGTGCTCCACACACACGCGCGCGCGTGGATGCGTGTGACAGAAACGGGGTTGGCACGGACGACACGGGATTGTGAGGAGCAAGCCAAAACTTCAGTGGTCGCAACTTCATTCTCCGTAACAAGGGCCTACAAAATCGGCTTCTAGGAGTCATAGGAAAGGAAACCCATCAGGTTTATAACTGATACCTAATAATCGTGAGTACAAAGGTAGAAGATGAGAAAACCCTTGCAGGGGATAGCTGACAAACAGTTCTGAAACAGCCTCCCCAATCAAACCTTAGGAGCAGCGACATTCACCCGCAGTTGTCTGCCGTCAACGTCCTGTGTAAGATAGTGACGCAAACAGAGAAAACGGACACGAGACGCAGAACTAAGCACGAAGACCCCATGTACATTGCCACGAACTAAACACGGCGTGTCTTTCGAAATCAAACCTCACGATCTGAAAGTAAGTAAAATAAACACGCAACACTCGTTGGTACTTACAGCGCCGTCGAGGTTCGAGATGGCCTCCTGCACTTCCGAGTCGCTCGAGAGCGTCACGAAGCCGAACCCTCGGGACCTGCCAGTGTCGCGGTCGAGCACCACCTTGGCCTCGAGCACCTTGCCGAACTCCGCGAAGAGGTCCTCCAGAGACCCGTCGTCCATGCCCCACGACAGGTTGCCCACGTAGATCTTGTTGCCCTGGTTACCGCCGAACCGGGGCCTGTCGCCACGTGGCCTCTCGTTACGCGCGCCTCTCTCGCGCTCGCCGCGGGGGACGGGCATGTTGACCTTGAGCATGCGGCCGCCGAGTTCCTGCGAGTTACAGAGAATAGACAGACAGACGCCCGAATAAATAATGTCGTTAAATATCCTTGTAAGCGGGGATAGCACAGTTCAGCACCTTCGCTCAAGCTTGTAACTCAGAAGCCAGAAACACCGGCGAAGCCATGCCTATGTCACGAAGTGTTGTAACAATGAGGGGTGGATGGATCAGGAATAAGAACGAACCGTAAAATCATTACTATATCCTGGAATGTGATCACAATTGCCAGGTGAGGCTCACGCAACGAGAGACTAACTCACCGAGCCGTCGAACTTCTCAATGGCAGACTGAGCCTCCTCAGGGGTGCTCATGGTCACGAACCCGAAACCCCTGCTGCGGCCAGAGTCCCTATCGTAGATCACCTGCATAGGATACGAACAGTAGGAAAAATAAAGGAACAATGATCAAGGTTCAAGGCATTAGTCCACGGAGGGATTAAATAGATATCAAACAGCGGTCGTCTGACAGGAAAATTAACGGATTCCATATACGAACTACGTCGGATGAAGACCTTATAAACGTATTACTTCATTTCATGAGAAGCTACAGTAAGTGTTCTGAGCAGTATCTTACCTCGACGAGCTCCACGATGCCGGCCTCCTGGAAGATCTCAGCGAGCGACTCGCTGTCGACGTTGAACGGCAAGTTGCCGACATAAATCTTGGTTCCAGGAATCTCACGAGGAGCGCCGTAGTTCCCGCCGCCCTGCACATCCTCCGCGACCGCCCTGACGACGACCGAGCCGACTCCCTTGAACGACGCCTTGGACGCCGCGCCAGCAGACTTCCAGGCGAACAGGGGCTGCACGGCCAGCGAGACGGAGCTCTTGAGCTTCGAGTCGAGCTTCACAGAGCTGAATGTGGCACGGCACGGAGCCGTGGCGGCCTGGGAGAGAGTGACGGCAGCCATTGTAGAAGGTGGAGCTGATGAAATCAAGGGAAACTAGGAGACGGGAAAGTGGGGAGGCTGAGGAAAGCTGCAAACTTGAAAGGAGAGAATGAGGGAAGAGTGAATGCAGATAAGGTGGGAGATGCTTGCAGCTGCTGTGGATGGATGGGGGAGGGTGAGTAGAGGTGGTGAGCTGACTGACTGTTTCCGTTTGCCCCCTGACGGTTACCGCTTGCTTGCTGACATGGCTCCCTCGAGAATTTCGCTCTGTCAGTTTTGGGGAATGGGGTTGGCTGGCGGAAGGAGCCTGCTGCATGGCTTTCGGTGGCGATCCAGGGGGTTTGGGGACTGTCAAGCGGGTTTGCAGGGTGGCGGTTGCTGGCTGACGGGGTTTTGGTTGAGAAACGCGGAGAGCTCGGATTGGTCAGAGGCACTTCTGTGCTCGACGTGGAGTTCTGACTGTACCTTTTTAGTTGGGGGATGTCGGCAGGGTTGACGATCGTCGATCTACAGCGCATCGACGAGCCAAGCTGCGACAACAAATTCAGCTTTGAGTTCAAATGACAACATCCAGATTTGTGCGTGACGAGCGAGAGTCGACGTGGGAAAAAATATCGTGTCACAACTGAAGTCCCACAATGGATGAGGTTTCCACCTCACCGATTGGGTGAACTCCGTTAAACGCAAATAGTACCGAAAGTAATGGTGTTCAAGATGCGGATAAGTCGACGCTTGGCATACTGGTCGATTGAGAATGAACAAGGCTAAATGTGGTACCTCGATAGATGGCAAACCAAAACTAGATTCATGAAAGCTTCAGACGTGGAAATAGCCGCAAAGCATTCTCGCTTGTGGTCTTGGCGACTTCAGCGACAGTAATACCATGAATGCGAGCAATCTCCCTGCACGAAACCGCAATGTTGCTTGGCTCGTTGATGGCACCTTTCTCAGGAGCAAGCGCAGGGGAATCAGTCTCCAGTACAAGGCACGAAAGAGGAAGGCCCTTGACGATTTTCTGCCATAGCCCCGCAAGAACAAGGAATGCAACATGAGCAGACGGAGGACACTACAAGCAGCCACACCATTCAGCCCCGCCCATTTGTCCCCCCTTCCCAAACCACCCCCCCCCCCTCCCCTTCCCCCCTCCCCCCTTCCTGCTAAGACACCCACACCAGATGCATTGACACACCTCCTCATCTATGCAAACCTACCTGTGTCTGTGGGGAGCGAACGACAGAGGGCGGCACAGAAAAGAAGAACCCGCCATGCCGTTCAGCCCGCTCAGCGTGCACCAGCCGCCCATCAAACGCATGCATCAGCGCTGCTGACGTGGCAGGGAGTCCTGATTGGACGAGCTCCTCGATGGCATGGTGTCCTGCGCTGCGGGAGTGGACATTCACTGGCAGACTCAGCTCTGCTGCTAGAGACAGCTGGCGCCGAAACACCTCCCTCTGCACTGCCTTGAGCTCCTCTGTTTTCAGGGCAATAATGCTGCTGGTGCTATTGCTATTGCTGCTGCTGCTGCTCTCACCACCAGTTGACTTACCCACCACATTCGGGCTGAAATCAAGGCCAATCTCGCCAATGCAAACCATACCCGCTGTGCCTACTGAAGCGTTGCTTTCTCCTGTTTCCTGCAGTGTGATTCCTGACCTCCCCTTCATGCCAGATTCCGCCTCGGACCGGATGAGAGCCAAAACCGGCTCCAGCTCACACAACTGGACGGAGTGGGACAATGTCGTGGAGGATGATGGCTCTAAGAAGCCTGCTGACGTGGCGTCCACGTCAGGTGGATAAGGCCCTGGCTGAACCGGGTGCAGCCCGATAGCAGGAGCGATTTTCAAACCGAGAAGGCCCGAGTTGTGCTGAGCCGAGCAAGTAGGCGCGGTCCGGCCAACTGGAGGCTCGGTCTGGTCTGCCGAGTCGATGTCCCCGGTTCGGCATTCTGTGGGGAGGATGAGAGGATGGGATCGAGCCAGGGCCAGGATCTCGTGAGCGTCGGCTAGGGTTTCAGGAACAGTGACGATGTGGGAGACACACGCGGCGGCTGCGCGGCGAAGGAGAGGGAGGAAGTCGCACTGGGGGAACTGCGAGGGGTATGTGTGGGCGTGACAGTCGATTAGCCGGAACGGAGGGTCTGACGTGGACATTGACGCGACGGGCGATGGAAGCTTCCAAAAATCCACGATGCCATCCATCTTGAGATGCTGGGTGCGGTCGTCGTGTCAGCGTCGACGACGGGGGAAATAATCAGTGCGGGTCGTATCGCGGAGGTCCAGAGAGTGCGTTAGAGGCTAGAGCGTGCTGGTTTCTTATGGGTGAGCAAGCCTGCTCGACTACAAATTCCCTGACGGCTTCAAATGTGAGTTCTTGCGGCCCGACGCTAGGCGGGATGAGGCAAAGAAAAATGGTGAAGTCCGATGGAAAGCGAAGCGGAAATCTCGACAGAATGCTCTGTTTCCATGAAATCTTGTACGCGCTATCAACTGGCCCGGTTCACTCGGTGATGCGAAGCTGCTCAGTGAAAATTGAAGGCGAAGATGCGAACACAACATCCACGAAGTAAGCATATCGATCTAATCATTTTCAACATCAAAGGCTAACATGGAAAACGTATCTTCCATGTGTGCAGGCAGTGGTGCAGTGAACTTTCGCGTTCCATGTTCATTGTTTTGTGCTATGTCCTGACGTGCGATCTCATGGCTCCTGAAACGCCCCTCCCTCCCCCCCCCACCACCTTGTGAAGGCCGATTAGTAGCCGGAACCAAGTACGGCACCTCGATTGAGCGTGCATGTAGGTGTAGGCCATCAGGAAGGGCTAATTTCGCTGTGATTTCCGGAGATACACCCGATACTCCTTTGTGTGCCCATGCACCGTACGTCATGTCGCCTTGTATTGGGCACCCTAGTGCCAATGCGCAGTGAATGCGGAGCTGAAGGCGCAAGAAGCACACAGAGGGAATCAAATTGAAAGATGCAATGAAAACCGTGAGGTGAGGGAGAAACCAACGAATTGTGCAACTAGGAAGAATGGGCAAGATACCACTAACATGAGATGACCTGAATGCAAGTGTATAGCAGTAGCAACAAAGGAGGTGGGGTGGAGGTAAGGGTTGGGAGAAAAGGATAATATATTATTGCAAAAAGAAGTTAGAGGATTGTGAGGCACGCACCTGGTGTTTTCGTCCAGTCAGTGGGCAAAGCTCTAGCCACGAGTACCCTGCTAGCAGCAAGCAAGCGCAGCACATGCAACAAGCCAGCATCCAAAATATAGTGCATCAAACACGGAATGCAACAACTTTTGGCTCTCGATGTATCCCCTAGTATTTTGCAAAACCTTACTGTATACGGATGCTGTTTTTTGGAACTCTGACAAGCAAGTTTCACCATCAACACCCCACAAATAGCAGCTAAACGTCCATGGATCATCTTTTACTCAGAAGACCTACCCGAAGGCGAAGTGTGCTTGACCCGGTACACAGTGACAGCTGGCAGCTCCTTGATGGGCGAGAGAGAATCGTTGCCAGGCTGGACGGATAGGGCGGAGAGATAAGGTCAGGCTACAAGGCATGCACACAAACACACGTGCACACACAGCCAACTAGCCCAACAACCCGTATTCCCCTTGGATGCACTCACACACCTTATTTTGAGGCGCCTCAAAAATAGATTCCTCCCGTATTCCCCTTGGATGCACACACACACACCTTATGCAATGGCGCCATGATCACTCCTGATGTTTGCTTCGGCTGGCCAATCACCACCGCCCAGTACACGCGTGCTACGCCTCCCTCCCTGCGCTGGTAAGCAGCTGCACTCCCCTCATCATCACCAGCGGCACCGGCACTTGCAGCAGTTCCCGCGGCAGCACCAGCACCAGCAGCAGTGCCGGCAGCACCAGCAGCACCTGCAGCAGTGCCGGCAGCACAAACACCAGCAGCAGTGCCGGCAGCATCAGCACCAGCAGCAGTGCCGGCAGCACCAGCAGCACCTGCAGCAGTGCCGGCAGCACCAGCACCAGCAGCAGTGCCGGCAGCACCAGCAGCACCTGCAGCAGTGCCGGTAGCACCAGCAGCACCTGCAGCAGTGCCGGTAGCACCAGCAGCACCTGCAGCAGTGCCGGTAGCACCAGCAGCACCTGCAGCAGCACCTGCAGCAGTGCCAGCAGCAGCGCTAGAGGCAACATCAACGCCGGCAGCGCTCTTATCGCGGAACAGGGCTGTGAGAGCACGTGCGCTGGCAGCTGAACGGGCCAATAGCATGGCGCCACTTGTCTCCCTGTCCAGGCGATGCACCTGATTGGGTGGTAGGGAGACATGCAAAGACATGTAAAGACATGTAAAGACATGTAAAGACATGCAAAGACATGTAAAGACATGTAAAGACATGCAAAGACATGTAAAGACATGTAAAGACATGTAAAGGGGAATAATCAGGGGCATGGTGTGTACAGGACATGCAGTCTATGGCGCATGGCATGAGGTTTGAGGTGCAAGGTGCATGGTGCAAGGTGCATGGTGCATGGTGCATGGTGCATGGTGCATGGTGCAAGGTGCATGGTGCATGGTGCATGGTGCATGGTGCATGGTGCATGGTGCATGGTGCAAGGTGCATGGTGCAAGGTGCATGGTGCAAGGTGCATGGTGCATGGTGCATGGTGCATGGTGCATGGTGCATGGTGCATGGTGGATGGTGCATGGTGCATGGTGCATGGTGCATGGTGCATGGTGCATGGTGCATGGTGCATGGTGCAAGGTGCATGTTGCAAGGTGCATGGTGCAAGGTGCATGGTGTAAGGTGCATGGTGCAAGGTGCATGGTGCATGGTGCATGGTGCATGGTGCATGGTGCATGGTGCATGGTGCATGGTGCATGGTGCAAGCATGGTGCGTGGTGTATGCTGCATGGCGCATGCTGCATGGCGCATGCTGCAAGGTGCAAGGTGCAAGGTGCAAGGTGCAAGGTGCGTGGTGCATGACGTGTGGAATCTTAGGCAAGAGCGCACTGTATAGGTACTGGGTAATAGCCCGAGGCGAGTACAAAGGTTTGGGAGTGAATGGCTCTCTGAACCAAGAGAAAAGACTCGAGGGAGTCCAAGCCTAGGGCGTGCTGCATGCGTGTTGGGTTCATAAACCCGAACCCCAAGAAAGGCACAAAGGTATGGGTGTAAGTGAGTCCAAACCAGGCGAAGAGGCTCGGGGGAGTCAGAGGCTAGGGCGTGCTGCATGAGGTTGTCCACTGAGAGGCGCACTTTATAGCCACCCTGCAATACAGTCACACAGAAACAAGAATAGCATCCTGAAATAATCTGCTCTGCAGAGATTAGCTTAATGGTATGATAGGATAGGCACTTCGAAAGAGCAGCAATGGGATTCTTGTATGTAAGCATCTCCCAGTGCCTGTGTACCTGAGACGGCAGGCCTGATGGCGATCTAGTTTTGAGACGTCTCAAATCCAGATTATTTCAACCCAACAGGATTCTTCTCATAGGTAAGCATCTCCCAGTGCGTGCATGTGTACCTGGGAAGGCAGGCCTGATGGCTTGTTGATGACGATGATGTGATCATCCTGCCAGGGGGCGATGGGAGGAATGGCATGGGATGGCATGACACAGGGATGGCACGACACAGGGATGGCATGACACAGGGATGGCATGACACAGGGATGGCATGACACAGGGATGACATGACACAGGGATGGCATGACACAGGGATGGCATGACACAGGGATGGCATGACACAGGGATGGCATGACACAGGGATGGCATGACACAGGGATGGCATGTCACAGGGATGGCATGACACAGGGATGGCATGGCACAGGGATGGCAGTGATGCGATCATGCTGACAGCGGAATTGGGGGAATGAAAGAAGGCGATCCTTCCCCTGTGAAGAGTTCATCTCATCATGATGTGATGTGATGTGATGTGATGTGATGTGATGTGATGGGATGTGATGTGATGTGATGTGATGTGATGTGATGTGATGTGATGTGATGGGATGGGATGTGATGGGATGTGATGTGATGTGATGTGATGTGATGTGATGTGATGTGATGTGATGTGATGTGATGTGATGTGATGTGATGTGATGTGATGTGATGTGATGGGATGTGATGTGATGTGATGTGATGTGATGTGATGTGATGTGGCGCACACCTGAATGTAGCCCACCTATGAACGTAGCCTAGCTTGGCCTTTTGATAATACATCTATATCCTCATCTTATTCCTGGATAGCCAATCTCAGCCTAATAACATAGCGCACTTGAACTATTTCCGACGCCTTCAATTGCCCCTCCCTACCTTGAACAGAACACACTTCCGGAGCATTTTTATGTCCTCTGGTTGAATGCCACGTGGCAAGGGAGAGGAGGAGGAGGCTGCGGATGAGGAAGACGAGGTAGAGCGTTTGCCGTTTCTCAATGTGGCCGTTGTGCCGCTTGCATCAGAATCGGAGTGCATTTGGATGGAAGACGGAATGCACAGGACGGTTCCTGGAAGGAGCAGTTGGTTGGCTGACACCTGACAGGCCATGGGATGTTATACCACGCCAAGCCACGCCATTCCAACCCATCCAATGCCATGCCATGCCACATCCATGCAGCAATGCAATGCACGGAAAAACTCATTCAACGGCTTGCACGTGCATGGTTCTCGCAAGCCAAGCAAACCATCCCATGACACACCAGCACATGCAAACCATCCCATGACACACCAGCACATGCAAACCATCCCATGACACACCAACACATGCAAACCATCCCATGACACACCAGCACATGCAAACCATCCCATGACACACCAGCACATGCAAACCATCCCATGACACACCAACACATGCAAACCATCCCATGACACACCAGCACATGCAAACCATCCCATGACACACCAACACATGCAAACCATCCCATGACACACCAACACATGCAAACCATCGCATGACACACATACACATGCAACGGATTTCCGTGGCACACCAAAACATGACACCGTGACAGACACGTTGCTATCACGTGTCACCGTGACGAGCTACAGTATCTGCAGTGAACAGGCTCGCACACATCTCGCCCTCGCTCCCTGCTGCACATGTTGATACAATACAACCGATCCTTTACATGCCATAGCTGTAACACTCGACACTGTAACATTCCGGAACAGCAGCTTACCCGGGATAGCTTGTTGGGACGCGTTTGAGAAGAGTCAGAGGTGTCGGGAGGAGGAGGGGAGGTGCCTGCAGGGGAAATAGCTCGGACCTGGTAAGGAAAGATGAGAAGACAAACGCGTAGAGTGCATTGGGAAAGAGCACGGAACGTGCTGGAAACGTGCATTCTTTGATAACTGAGTTATAGGGAAAATGGCACAGGGAAGCGTGAAATTGAGGGAGTGAGACTCATTGTGACCGACATTCCTAGTCCCAGCACCTATGATAACCAATGAGCACAAGCATAACAGCAGAACAGAGCGCACAGTAATAACGCAGCAACAGGCAACAAACTTCCTTACTATCACCTTCTCACACAGGCACTCCTCCTCACCACTCTCTTTCTGAAGAGCTTGCGGACGAGGCTGGCCGGCATGTGAGGTCAGCGCACAGCCACCATCCCCCCCATTGCGCCCTGTCGACCCCAAACTTCTCACCGCACATTTGAGTCGACTCAAAAGGCACCGCACATTCACTCACCACTCTCTTTCTGAAGAGCTTGTGGACGAGGCTGGCTGGCATGTGGGGGCAGCACACAGCCATCCACTTGCGCGCACTCACAACCCCCAGGGTTCCCCCACCGCCTTCCGCCATCTCCTTCCCCCCTTCCTCCCCCCATTTGACTTTCATTATGCCCGCTCCCCCTTTCTCTCCCCTTCTCCTTTCCGTGAGGAAATCCACTCCTTTCCTCACTCCTCCCCCGCCGCTCCCTCCCCCCCCTGGAGCATCATCTGAAACGGCCAGCAGGGAGGGGAAGTGAACCGGTGCCAGCTGTCGCCATGAGATTGGTCCATTCTCCTGGTCGGCTGTTGGAGTGTTGTGCTGCTGCTGTTGCTGGCTATTCCCCCTTTGTTGCTGCTGCTGCTGCTGCTGCTGCTGGTGATCAGGATGCCTTTGTTGCTTAGGCTGATGTCTCTGCTGCTGCTGCTGCCTGTCCTGATGCTCTTTATGCGACGAGGCCCCGCCATTTCTCCCAACCGTCTGCCTCACCCCACGAGCCCCCTTTCTCTTTGAATCCTTTCTCCCAAATGTCTCCTCTCTACTGGACGACTCCTCCTTGCGTTTACGCGTCTCAGCTCTCTCTTCATTCCCGAGCTTCGCTTGACGCCTACCCTCCTTCTTAGTAACGTCGCGCTTGACTCGACGGCCCATCTGACGGTCAATCTGCCGGCTGCCTTGACGGCTGGAGGTGTTTAAACGGCGCGATAAAGAGGCGAACGGGGCGAGCGAGAGCTGGAGGGTCACTTGAACAGCGAGAGATGAAGGAAGGCGGGAGGTGGAGGCGAGAGGGAAGATTGCAGGAGAGGGAAGATGCTTCAGCTGGCGAGCAGGAGATGATCGGAAGCAGGTCGCGCAGACGAGAGGGAAGATTGCAGGTTGCACAGCTGGCTGGCGAGCAGGTGATGATCGGAAGCTGGAGAGCTCGGACAGCGGTGATCTGGTTTGCAAACAGCAGAGTTTGGACAGTCTTTTGAGCGTGCTAGCTTGAGGTTCGAACGGATAGGTTACTAACGAGGAGGAAGAGAAGGTGGCGCACGCGGCGTTTGTAGCCAAGACTTCAGCTGATTCGCTACGATCGACAAGTGGCGAGTGCGAATAAGGAGGGATCGAGGTGTGTGGCGCGTGCTGCAGATACGAAGGGATCGAGCAGGTCAACGACGACGCTAAACGCGACGAGCGACGCCGCAAGGAGTGGAGGCTCCGGCTTAGAGCGCCGGCAGCCATGGCTGCTGGCTGCTGGCTGCTGGGCTGTCCCTGCCGGTTCTGCCGCTGATCGTCGCTACCAAGGTGTTGCCAGAGGAAATTGATGCCTCGGGATTCTCCCTCCGAGGTTCCTTCTGATCAGAGCGGTGGATTCTCCCCTGCCTGAAGCTCGAACGCACGCCTCGGGATTTTCTGAGGAACGAATGACCCGACTTGACGCGAATTCGTTACAGGCTGCTACTTCCTCCACCACACCCTAAAACGATTTTGTTACGGGCAGGCCCCTAGATATCACCCTTCTCACGCTGATTCAGCCTTTTTTCAAGGGGTTCCCGATGTACCAATGCTGAATGGCTGGGCTTTTTCTTGCAGAGGATGCTGAAAATTCAGCTTTTTGTTGTTGATGTCTGTTATTTCAGTGCTTCTGATAAGGTCCGCGCTGATGCGTCAGCGAACATTAGGGGGGGAAGGCCATAGAGGCAACAGGTTACGGGTCATTTATTGATACACCACAGGTACAAAGCAAAGACCATTCCATTCAACAAAGGCAAAACAAGAGACATTTGCACAATTGTTTTTAGCCAACGGAGCCCTCGAGCTTGAGGCTCATGAGCTGGTTGACCTCAGAGGCGAACTCCAAGGGCAACTCATTGAACACTTCACGGCAGAAGCCGCTGATGAGCATGCCCACCGCTTTCTCAGCGTCGATGCCTCTTTGCTGGAAGTAAAACAGCTGGTCCTCCCCGATCTTGGACGTGGATGCTTCATGCTCCACTCGTGCCGTCGGGTCCTTCACCTGCAGAGACAAAACACAGGAGTCAAAGCGCTTTGTCAGAAGACAACCTTCCTTCGAAATGCTTAGAAAGAGACATCAGCAGCCACACTGGCGCATGCACTCTCAATTGTCTGGCCACTCCTCCACAGATGAAAGCACGCACCTGGATGTACGGGTAGGTGTTGGCGCCGGCATTGTCCCCGATGAGCATGGAGTCGCACTGCGAGTAGTTGCGGGCGCCATGGGCCGTGGGCTGCACCTGCACCAGCCCTCGGTAGCAGTTGAGCGACTGCCCCGCTGAGATGCCCTTGGATACGATGCGGCTGCGAGTGTTCTTCCCCACGTGAATCATCTGGATGAGAGGCAAGGAGGAACGAAACGGGGAGCAAGAGGAGAGTGGTGAGAAGTAGAAGGCAAACGACGGTGGCAGTGGAGAGACTGCCCTGCAGAACTGCCCTTGGACACGATGCGGCTGCGAGTGTTCTTCCTTGCGTGAATCCTCTGGTGGGGAGGGCAAGGAGGAAGCAAAAGGGAGGCAAGATGAGAGTGACGAGGCACAAGGTAAATGTAGGTAGCAGTTGCGCGACTGTCCTGCTGAAATTCCCTTGGAGACAATGCGGCTGTGAGAGTTCTTCCCTACGTGGATCATCTGGTGCGGATTTGAGGGAGAGCGGATGGCAAGCAATAGCAGAGTGGTGAGATAGAAGGTGTTAACTCAACTGAATGTGATGGTTCCCGGTCACCCTAGCAACCTAGAAACCCGACCACGCGTGACCTGGGTGGACCCTACACACTTGGGACTGCTGCTGTGACCTTGGTCTGCTCTGCTGCGTGATGCATGCTGTCAAGTCACCCTGCTGCCATCAACCGGCTCACAACAAGCCCCCCTGCACGTCCTACTAGCCTCAGTGCCAGTATCAGCCTGCTGCTTGCTGCTGATGTGCTTCACGAAGTAGAGCTCGCCCGAATCAGGATGCTGTACCAGTTGAACATATCGCCCCCCTGTCCACCTTGGTGCCTACGCACCTTGGTGCCTACGCACCTTGGTGCCTACCCACCTTGGTGCCTACCCACCTTGGTGCCTACCCACCTTGGTGCCTACCCACCTTGGTGCCTACGGACCTTGGTGCAGCGAACGCGGTGGCTCCACTGAACCCTAGCCCCCACTGAACGCGGTGGCTCCTACCCGTATCGGTGCCTGTGGCAGCACACAACGTTGCTAGCACTACTTGATTTACCCACCTTGATGCCTGTGTCGGCCGAGGTGACTTTTGATCGACTCAGAAGTCACCTCACACAACCTTGCCACCACTACTTGATTTGCCCACCTTGGTGCCGGTGTCGGTCTGCTGCTTGTTGTTGGTGAGGGCCACGGAGTAAAAGTGCAGCGAGAAGACCCTAGGCCCCACTGAAGGCGGTGGTCCCTACCCACAGTGGTACCTGTGGCAGCGGACAACCTTCTTGATTTACCCACCTTGGTGCCGGTGTCCGCCTGCTGCTTGTTGTTGGTCAGCGCCACGGAGTAGAACTCGCCCGAGCTGTTGTCGCCCTTGAGCACCACGGACGGGTACTTCCACGTGATGGCGGACCCCGTTTCCACCTGCACGTACGCGATATAAGATGCAAGCAGAACACGCAGTGAGCGCCACGGAGCAGAATTCGCCCGAGCTGTTGCCACCCTTTGAGCTCCACAGGAAATTCAGGCACAGGAGAAAGGAGGTACGTGTGTGTGGGTGGGGGGAAAGTAGGAGGGTGTAGGGGCGAGGGGGAGAGGGGGATGCCAAAGTAGGACAAATGCAGAAAGCCCGGGGGAAAGCGGGAGGAGGGTGGTGGGGGGGGGGGGGGGGGGGGGAGGGGAGGGAGGAGAGGGGGAGTTGGCCTTAAAGCCTCACCTGCGTCCAGGAGATCTTGGAGCTCTTGCCCTCGCACAGCCCGCGCTTGGTGAGACTACAGGGAGTCACCACGGTGACAGCTAATCGGCCGGGTCATTAGAATGCATACACGGGTCCAGCGAGCCTCACCTGCGTCCAGAAGATCTTGGAGCTCTCGCCCCCGCACAGCCCGCGCTTGGTGAGACCAACCTGCTTGCACCCAAAAGCCCCACCTGAGTCCAGACACCAGACGACCTGCCTGCGTCTAAGGGAGGCCAGAGGACCTACCTGCGTCCAGGAGATCTTGGAGTTCTTGCCCTCGCACAGCCCGCGCTTGGTGACGAAGTTGTAGATCCCGCCGACGCCGTCCTTATCGCCCGCGTACCAGTTCTGCACCGTGGAGTACTTGATCTCCGCGCCCTCGCCCGTCCACAGCTCCACCACCGCCGCGTGCAGCTGGTTCTTATCATAAGACGGCGCCGTGCACCCCTCCAGGTAGCTCACGTAGCTCCGGTCTTCCGCCACGATAAGCGTGCGCTCGAATTGACCAGTCTCCATGGCGTTAATCCGGAAATAGGTGCTTAGCTCCATCGGGCTGATGGTGTCCTTAGGGATGTAGCAGAAGCTGCCGTCGCTGAAAACGGCGGAGTTGAGAGCGGCGTAGTAGTTGTCGCTCACAGGTACGACCTTCCCCAGGTATTTCCGGACGAGGTCCGGGTATTCGCGAACAGCCTCGGAGATGGAGCAGAAGATGACGCCGGCCTTCGCGAGCTCTTCGCGAAAGGTCGTCGCGATGGAGACGGAGTCGAAGACGACGTCGACGGCGACGTTCGCGAGGCGCTTCTGCTCGGAGATGGAGATGCCGAGCTTGTCGAAGGTGGCGAGGAGCTCGGGGTCGACCTCGTCCAGCGATGCCTTGGTCTCCTTCTGCTTCGGCTCCGAGTAGTAGATCACGTCCTGGTGAATGGAATTGGGGTGAGGAGGGGGGTGGGGGGGAGGGAAGGGGGGGGGCAGGGAGTGGGGGGAAGGGAGAGCGCATATGTGAGTAAGAGAAGGCTTGATTGCGTCTCCTGGTGGATGAGGGACGAGGCAAGTAGTGAAAGCAGGGGAGGTTGTGAGGGGAATTCACAGGCCGAAGGTGCATCGAGGACTTCACATGTTCCGGGTACACTTCGTCCAAGAACGACTTAGAGTCTTTCAGCTTAGGGTCGGAATAGTAGACTATGTCCCGGTGGTTAAATGATAGGAAGATGGATGTTGAAGAAAGGGAAAATTGACCGGTGGGGGAAATCCTATCCTGTTTGTTCTTCTGACGATCGGTACGATGCCATGGTTTCGTAACAAAGGATCACGGTTTCTTCCTTCAGTTCTTCCATCCGTTTTCGCTCCATCGATATCTCGTTCCCCAAAATCTCATACCTGGAAGTCAATCTTCGGGTAGTGATTATCCGACCACTGGGGCTCGGTCATCTTCTGCCATTGTCGGAACGCATTCAAACGGAACTCCAGCATCCATTCCGGCTCCCGCTTCTTCGCCGAAATTAACCTCACGGTTTCCTCCGTCAGTCCCTTGGGAATCTGGACATTCTCGATATTAGAAACGAACCCGTACTTATAATCACGCTGCAGAAACTGCTGAATGGTATCGTCGCTTGAGGTCTTTTTCTCGGGAGCCGTGGCGGCGGCACCTTCTGGTGCCGCCTCGCACCGAGGGGTGCTTCTCCTAAACTGTGAGTTGCTCGCGCGTGCAGCCTGCCGGCTTTTCGCGACGAACTGGTTACCAAGCGCGGGACTAGCGGCGAACTTTAGCGACGAGGAGACAGCAGATCGCTTATGCTCGGCGTTAGGGGAGGCACGAGGAACAGGCACAGGGGCCCTGTGAGCTAGACACTCCATGGCTAATTCTGTCAGCTTCCTCCCGGTTTACCAGGCAAATTACGATATCGCGCTAGGAAAACCTGCAGTTCGTACCAAAGGCTCAACAGCACCCGACGTCGTAACGAAGCAGCACGCAAGACTAACAAATACTACTCCTGCACTGCAAGCAAGCGGCGACTGGGGGGAAAGGCGACGTCCAAACAAATTTGCTTGCAGTTGAGGTGAGGTGAGCTTGCGTTGTCATGGTGGTGCTTCAGCTGTTCAGGAGATGGAAAAGGAGCAACATTCCAGACCAGACCCAGAGAGGTTTGGGAAGGTTGCATTCATTCATGGGAACGATCTCACCGAACCCCAGCCCTTGGTTTGAGGTTGCTCGTCTGGCGCTGACAGGGGACAATGTTCAAGTAAGAAAGAAACGTTCAGAATTTCAATCGCACGTTCTGTATCTGTAGTATAAATGACAGCTGAACTGCCCCTTATTGTACGAATGAACAGACTGGTAGCGTTTTAAGCGCACCAATAAGCCAGGCACAGATTTAAGAACACCCCCTCGAAACAACTTGGGATTTGGTTGGACGTTCGGCAAGGAGAATCTCGAGAAAGTCTGGTGCAGGCTCGGCGGGGACTGGGAAGTGTAAGAGGTGGTTCGGCAAGGTTCACGCACATTCCTCGTGCTGGTCGTGGTTCGTGACTCGTGAGCCTGGCGAGCGGTCGGTGCCATGTGGCGGATCACGGAAGCACGCCATCTTCACACTCGCAATCTGGTCGAGCTCTTGAACCATCGGGCGATGACGTGGTGGGATTACCTCTCTGCAACCAGGCTCGCAATCCAAGCTTGCGTACTACACCGCATACAGGTCGTATTCTACTAGAGCAACTACGACAAGCGCAAGTATTTCCGACGGGCAATTTATTCCTTAGGTGCAAACCCCATGTACGCAAGAAAACATGAAACCTGCCAATAAGGCACCGACAAGCATGCTTAGATTTATTGCGTAACATCCAGTTGTTTTCATTGCTGAAACAAATGGTGCAAGCGGAGAGGTCGACGTATCAGAATGAGAGAATAACTAGAATGCATGAGTACAAGGGAATATAGCCTAGTGACTAGTACTCTCTAAGGCACAACCATATATAGTCAATAAGAACATACTCAGATATGTTTGACACACCCCCTAGGCTGTATAGGGGCAGTGCTTTGTGAGAGACAAGCAGCTCAGGGTGGCACTACTAGTCCAGCCTCTGAGGCAAGGGTCTAAAGACCAGTCAAACTAATACAGACCTAGGCAAGAGCAAGACCAGGGCGGCACTACTAGTCCAGCCACTGGGAGAGGCCACAAGGCCAGTCAGGGTAATATATATATATATAGGGTCCGTACACAATCAAGGTCCTAGCAGATGAGAGTCTACAGGAACTAGACCAAGCTGCAAGCAATGCCGCTGATAATCTTTAGGCGCAAGTGCCTTAGAAAAGATATCAGCTATGTTGGCACCGGAGGCCAAGCGTACTACGCGGGCCTGGCGGCAGGGCTGACGTTTCAAAAAAAGGCACTCTGAGCCAATCCCCCCCAAAAAAAAAATAGTCTGAAGGGCCTTCAGCCGAAATTTTTGTAGTCTGAAATGTCAGGGTCCAGAACTCAGCGAGTCTGATTTTTTCAGGGTCCAGGACGTACAACCAGAATCACACACGGGAAACACCCCCACAGCGAGAAACATCCCTCCCTCCTACACCTCCCAAAAAATCGGCTAAGTTCCTTGCAGCATTAAAAATCCTCCCACAGCCCGCGCCCCCCCCAACCAGCAACCTTGTCATACCCTCGTTTTGCGTAGTTGTTAAATGTGGGAAACGGGGAAGTCATTCCTAAAAACCGAGGGGGTAAAATCGCACTGCCACGGAAATCGAAACTGAGGAGAGGGGGAATCGAAACTGACGGGGAAATGGGGGAGGGAATCAAAATGGAGGGGAGGGGGGAAACGAAACGGAGGGGAGGGGGAGGAAGGGGGGGGGGCGGTCGAAACGGAGAGGATGGGGGAAGCGAAACGGAGGGGAAGGGGGGAAGTGATCGAAACGGAGGGGAGGGGGGAAGCGAAAATGGAGGGGAAGGGGGGAATCGAAACGGCAGGGAGGGGGGAAGCTGGGGAATAGGAGGGTGGGAGAAATTTCGCGCCCTTGCAGCGCCCCGGTTGGGAAATCTTGGACGTTAATCGCAATATAACATCGAACGATGGATATACGTCGAAACGATCGCAAACGATCGTGACCGTTACATTTTGTTAGACTTTCAGTTGACCAAACGGGCAACTGGCGAGAATTTCCCTATGTTAAAAATGCGGAATTTACTCTCATTTCAACGCAGTTAAAAAAAAAAAAGTGAAAGTCTCATTCAAAACTTCTGGGTTGTTCCAGGTGTTAGGGAGGACTGTATCTAACAACATGACTTAGTCGAAATTTAGGGTGGGTTGTGGGGTGTGTGGGGGATGTCTCTAGCGTTCCGGGACTTCGCCGAAATTTTAGATGGGTTGTGGGGTGTGGGGTGGGGGTTGTCTCTAGGGTTTGGGGACTTGGCCGAAAAATTTTAGGGGTTGTGGGGTATGTGGGGCATGTCTCTAGCGATTGGGGACTTCACCAAATTTTTCGAAGGTTGGTACTGTACAGGTAATGAGTCAGGGTCCGTACGCGATGTGCTCTGAAAACTCAGTACTGGGTTAGCGACAACTCTGATTTTCTCAGGATCCCTAGAATCGTACTCTGAAGGGATCAGGATTGGGAAAATGCCTTATCTGGAAATTCAGGTTTGGCCAAAAAACAGGTCTGAGATTTCAGACTAATCAGAGTAAATAGTCTGATAAAGTCAGCCCTGCCTGGCGGTGCTGCTGTAGCTCGCGCATGAGGAAGTACCGCAACTGGATATGCTTCGCTCTGCCCTCAAGTCGAGGCTCCTGATCATGAGGATCATGGCCCTGTTGTCAGCGTACATGACTGGGGCAGAGTTAGGCCGCTCACCTAAGTCAGTGAGCAAGAAGGTCAGCCAGCGGAGCTCCTGTGCCGCCATGGCACCAGCGTAGATCTCAGCCTCACAGCTGGACTGGGCAACAGACGAGGAGCGAGTGGCCCTCCACGAGACGGCACCTGAACCAAGGGTAAAGCAGTAGCCCTGCGAGGACCTAAGGGTCTCAGCGTCGTCTGCCGAAGAAGCGTTTGTGTGCCCAGTAAGGACCACTGGCCTGCGTCCTCCTAGCAATAACCCCTTGCCCGATGTACTTGCTAGATAACGCAAAACCCTCTAAGCGGCCGGCCAGTGCTGTGGTCGGTGTCTGCCTGTGGCCACAAAGCGAGCCAGGATGCTGAGAGGGTATGCGAGATCTGGACGAGTGCAAGTCATCATGTACATGAGGAGACCCACCAGCTCTGCGTAAGGACCACTGGGCTCTACTGACTCATCAGGAACTGGAGCTGAGAGACCTATGGTCTACTGGCAGAGGTGTGGGCTGTGCAGAGGAGAACTAAAGACTGAAACTCTGAAGGGCCCAGCACACCAAGTGTGACTGTGAGAGAGTGATGGTGCACGCTGCTCTGTCCCTGGAGATCTGTAGGCCAAGGTAGCGGCGAAGTTCTCCTAGGTCAGTGCAGGTTTGTCTCTTCAGCAGCTCTGCCTTCACGGAGGCCAGCGCGTCCCTGTCTGCGGTGACGAAGACCAGGTCGTCTACGTAAACAAGGATGTAGAACGGAGCTTGGCCAGCACAAACGAAGAGAAAATGGTGGGCAGAGGACGGAAAGAACCGCAGGTCAGCTAGGGTAGCACGCATGGTGTCGTGCCACTCACGGGGCGCCTACCGCAAGCCGTGGACTGGGCGCCGCAGGAGCCATTGGGTCCCAGGAGGGAAGGTACGAGTAAAGCCCTGAGGGCGGCACAGATAGACCTGCTCGTGTAGGCCGCCCTGAAGAAATGCAGTGGAGAAGTCGAGGGAGTGTAACTCGTAGTCACGCTGTGCTCCTACGTGTAGCAGCGCCCGAAGAGAAGTCATCTTGGGGGTCGGGGCAAAGGTTTGAACGAAGTCAACACCCTCACGCTGATTGAAGCCTCTAGCCACGTAGCGCGCCTTGAATATAGGCAGCTCTCCAGTGGGGCGCTTCACCTTGAAGAGCCAGCGGCCATCGAGTACGTTCACCCTAGGTGGGGGAACTGCATCGACAAAGGTGCCGGTGGATCTCCAAGATGCCATCTCCTGCTCCAGGGCAGTTATCCACTGAGAAGCCCAGGGTCTCGAGGTCGCCTCAGGGGGGTTGGGATATCGAGAACGTCTGGGTCACCCTCAGGGACTAGCAGCATGGAACAGAGATGGGGAGCAGCCTTAGACAGGTAAGCAAGCTCTACTGCCGGTCCTCCAGGACGTCACTGCCGAGGGCAGAAGCATCCCCGACGGACGGAGGACGGGCAGGGTCAGAGACCAAGGCGGTGGCATAGTCAAGACGGCGGGTAGAGGCGAAGTCGATAACATCAGCGACAAGAGCGTCAAGTCGCAAAACAGGAACAGACGGGTCGGTAACGACAGAGGCAAGGACCTGAGGAACAAGAGGACGAGCTGCACGAAGGTAGTAAGACAGAGGGGGAGGAGCGACAATAAGTGAGGACGGAGGAGGCAACGGTAGGAGGGGAGGAGGAGACACGTGAGAACGAAGCAACATAGGGTAAGAGCACTGAACACGAGAGACAGGACGAGCATGAGAAGGACGGCGAGACCAGACATGAGACGGAGGTGTTTGGTTAGGAGACAGAGGAGGAGACACAGGAGGGGAACGAGGGGGAAGACGAGCCGGAGACGAGTCCAGAGGAGGGAACACAGGGTCGTAAACAGGAAGAGGAGGGGACGGCAGGAGAGGCACAGACGGGCGGTCAGGGGAGGGATGGCCAGGCAGGCGAAGGGCGAACACCGACGGCGACGGCTGCTGCTGCTGCTGCACGACGGCAACACCGGGACCGCCAGCTGGACCACGGCTACCTCCGAAACACTCCACTCTAGCACCCCCAGAACTAGGAACCCTCCTTGCACCGGCACCACCCCCAGACCCACTGGGACAAGCCACAACAGGAACCCCACGACTAGCATCCTCCTCAACGCCAGCACCTCCAGAGGCCACAAACTGCTGTTGTTGCGGTGGCAACGGCAACTGCTGCTGCGGCAGCTACGACGACGGCTGCGGCTGGAGCAGCTATGACGACTA